AAGTCACAATCCTTCTGGATCTGTGCAGGAGTTCCTGCTTGCAAGACCACTTACATTCTCAGGATCATGATATCACGCAGAATGATGACACTACATTCCTCCCACACCAGCATTCTGAAGGCCACTGAACAACGCTCTGTGAGCAGATGCAACAAAAGTGGAGCATTTTGGTAAAAGTACACAATTTTACTTTTGGAAGATGTAAAACATTAAATACCAACCTCACCCGACGATATAACAAATCGTTGTGCGACCAGTAAATTCCAAGCTTTATCAAGAAACGAGACAGTAGAACCCATAATATAAAACTAAATAGAAAAAATAAGCTAGTATGTAAACCAACAATATAGTTTATTAATCAGACAAAATTCCATATTTTGGAATGACCTGACTTCAACCCCATCTGATTAAAAGCAAGACATCCCAAAAATATAAACATGTGCAAATTGTTTTGCAAACATGAATCACCCAAAACAAAAAACAAACAAAAAAAACAAAAATACTACTAATGACTGAGCAGGTCCAATCAGCAGCTACAGAAAATGTTTAGCTTCAGCTACTGTCAATTCCGACAGTTACTATTAATTACCTTTGTTTAAAAAATTGGTTTAAAGGTAATAAAAGGTATAATGGGAATAATGTAAAATATGCGTATTATGTATCAAATAAAATCCTTTCTAATTATGCAACTTCATGCAGAAATCCAGATAGGGTTCACAAACCATCTCACAAATGTATAATCCTAACATGTCAGCAATACAACTTTATGGAAGGAAAAAAGGCAATCTTTTAGAAAAGCCCGTATTGTCACCGCTGACCGCTAATTACATCAGTATCTAGCTGATCTTCTGATTTCATCCACTGAATCTGGACAAGTACTGATCTATGTACTAGCTCTGGGTCACAGATAAACAAAATATTGAAGCCATTAAGTGTTTGTAGAACTGGCAACCAGATAGCATTTTCAGAAGTACGCAACGGCATCCCATATATTTCAGAATAGTTTCCTTCAAATGTAGAAAGCTGAACAAGATGAATAGGGTGAAGCATGCAAAAATGCTGGTTCCAAATGATTTACTGTTGCTCCATCAAACAATTCACAATCTAACCATACTTGTGCAATGTAGCTCAATTTTAAACACATAAAACATATTTACACCCTTTATCAGTTGGTAAAAGCTTCAATATCGTCTCAAAATTCTGGATCCAAAAGACAGTCAATGTTGTTGGCTCCATTTCTCAGCAAGTCTGTGTGTTTTATGCGATTTAGCATCATTCAAGCATTGATCTGGGATTTAAACAAGCAGATGTTCATGGATACTTTTCACTACTCTCTTCAGAAGCCACAGGCCCACGGGAACCTTGGAAATAGCTGCAGCTACTCTGCTATATCTGCAAAGAAAAAACATTTAACACTGAAGTACCAATACCGGTGGAAAAAGCAAAATTGAAGAGTTTAACATGCACTCAGGTATTTGTTACTGTATATACAATCACATCTGAAGCTACAGCTTAGCTTTGCTGCTACACATTGCAGCTATTTCTCATTTCCAGATCATTAAGGAGTTTCCCCAAACACTCCAATTAATAATGTACTCACTCAGTGTTCCCAATGTAATTTAGTACTGTGAAGGACAGAGGATGTGTTGGATACATTTCTGAAATCTGTATGCTCAGTTCAAATTTTGCAAAAGCTGCAGTGCTTGAAAATAGAAGCTTCACTCTAAAAGAAACAAAAAAAAAAAAAAAAATAAAAACATGTGGGGATGTATAACGTGCATGGGTTTGGTTGACCACTGTAATATGGTGATGGAGATTGCCACTTACAGGATTTAACAAGTTTGAAAACAAAACTGCGACTTGATATAGATCTAGTATGACGATTACATAAATACTATCCCACCTTTTTTTCTCATCAAGAGATTATTTGTTCATTGTAAAACAGAATTGTTAATTTTATTCTCATCAAGGAATTAAGCCAAATACTAACTGGAATATTAGAAATCTTTACTGATAAATGAATAATCCCAAATTAGGTATTTATTTAAAGTGGTAGTAAACTAATTTTTTTTTACTTTTACCTACAAGTAAGCTTACAGGAAAACTTACCTGTAGATAAAATTAATATCTCCTAAACATGCACCGTTTAGAAGGTATTCTAGTGAGCGGCAGCCGGTGAGATCAATGGTGCATGCACTCTGAAGGAATGGCACAGGTATGCCGTTCCTTCAGAGCTGTGTGCCACAGCCATAGCTCCCCCGCAGGAGTGACGTCATCGCAGCAAGTGGCCGCAACCCGGAAGAAGGACCAAGTGAAGATGGAAGCCTCTGCAGTGGTGACAGCATGCTGCTGGAGGGCTTCATTCTCAGGCAAACTAGCACATTAGGACATTACCTTGCAGGAAAAATCTTTTTTCCCCCTTTTTTTACTACCACTTTAAAGATTTTACAGTTACAAAAAAATGAAAAACCACAGAAAATACAAAAATAAATAAAAAGCCATCGGTGCTGCTGGACCAGTCACCCATGGCCCTGATATCACCAAGACTGAAGCAGCATTCATAGCCCTATAATGAACATGATGACATTATGAAACGCCACCACTGGAGCATTGGTGGAGGATCAGAAAAGTAAAAAGCTTTTACTTTCCCAATTAGCAATTACTGCTTGCAGTGCTGGTACAGTGTATGGGAGAATTTTTGTATTTCGCAGAATTGGGCTCCCAAACTCCTGCTGAATTCTCCATTGGCATGCGAGTTCTATATAAAGCAAGAATTTGACCCACAAAAAATGTATATGTATATATAGAAATTTTGCACAACTATAATAAACTTTTTGATATCAGTCTCCTGCAATTCCCTTCTCAGCTGTGTACAGACTAGGAGGGCTAGAACAATACTCTAAAACTAGTCACACACAGATTTCTACAACCACACTAAAAAGCATGAAAGGAGGAATAGCCCCTGCTGGATATAGTATTCCAACAGCTGCAGGTGCTAAGGCTGTCAGAATACCCAAACAGTAATTGCATCTTATTGGATCTGACTGTCCCCTTTTACAAAAGTCTGTTGAAAAATCTACTTTAGTCAGGGCCACCCAAGACTTGAATTTTGATTTTGGCCAATTTCTGCTGAATGGGATGGAATTCAAGCTTTTTTGTTCACTTTGTATAAAGCAAGAGAAGGTTATAACCCCTGCCAATTTTATTTTTACCATCGGTGTTCCATTGGAGAGCTTTCCCTTCACTTCCTGGGCTCCATTCACTTAAGAATCTCTTATGAGATAATTGAATCAGGTGACATTTTCTAAAATTATCTCATGACAGGCTGAAAATGTCAATTCACTATCACCTTACGAGTTATTTATCTCACTAACGAACCAAAAACATGAGGTAAATAACTCATAAAACATAAAGCATTTAGTACTTTAAAACAAGCCCTCATTCACCTCTGTAGTTAAAAGCATTGCAGAAAAATGGATCTTCAAAGTTCATTATAAGGCTGCATTCACATAATCAATTAGCACACCTTGAGAATTTTAGGGCCAAGAATCTGCAGCTGGAATGACAGGTATGTGTGGAGAGATGCAGCCGTTCAGTCCACACAATGCAATGACAGGTTGACGCAGCTATTCATGACAGTCTGTACAGCCAGCGATTACCTGGCTGTGTGAACAGTAAAAGAGCTGCAATCACTGTCAGCTTGTCATTGCATTGTATGGGCCGAATGGCTGAAACACACCTGTCATTCCAACCACAGGAATCCAGATTCTGGCTGCTGGCATTTGCAGAATGTGCAAATTTCCTGTGTAAATGCAGCCTAAAGGCATTGAAGTAGTTTTTTCTCTAATTCTAATGTAAACAAAACACCAGGTGCTGAAAGCTGCTAGGAAGTGACTGAAACTAAACTCGGATCTTTGAGAATTACTTCACAGTACATGCAGCTAGAGATGTCAGTAATGGGTTGTTTAAAAATTCTTTTAAGATTTGCTAAGAATTTGTAAAAAGCAAAAAAAAAAAAAATCTAATTGTCTGGCACAGGTGCACTTTCACAATACAACTTACAGTGATAGAGGTCTGTTAAGGATTGGCACCTTTGGGGAGTGGGTACCCAAATTTGACAGGTACCCGCTCCCACTTCCGCTGTGATTGCCTAAGGCGATTGGAAGCGGAAGTTGTCCTTCCCCCTCCCTCCACGTTGTCTTGTGGGACACGCGACAGGTCCCAGAAGACTACAGGACCATTCACAAAGCGCAGCTCTTCTCGCGCATGCACAGTGGGCACCCGGCTGCAAAGCCGCAAGCTGTCACAGCAGGGTGCCCACACTGAAGATGCTGCCGCCAGGGAGAGAAGACGGCCGGTGAAATCAACCGTGGTGAGGACACCGCTAGAGTGAGGGACAGGTAAGTGACTGTATTTAAAAGTCAGCAACTACAGTTTTTGTATTTTTTTTTATTCAACTAGACTGCTTTAAAGAGGAGCTTCAGCTCCCCCCTACAAATACTGTATCTGCTTAATTTTAATATAAGGACACTTACCTATCCAAGGATCCAGCGCTGTCCTCACATGAGCCCATTCTTCAATCAGCTTTGGGACCAGGCGCCGGCATCTTAAATAAAGGGAAACCGGCAGTGAAGCCTTGCAGTTTCACAGCTTGTTTCCCACTGTGCATGCGCAACCTGTGCTATGTGAATGGTCCTGCAGTCTTCTGGGACCTGTGATGTGTCCCAAAAGGCTGCGGAGGAAGGCGAATATCTGCTCGGATCACCAAGGCAATCCAGCCACAAATGGGAGTGGGTACCTGTTGAAACCAGGTATCCACTTCCCCATCCAATGATGATGCAAACAAGCGGAACTTCTCTTTTGGGTGAAATTTAACTTGTATGGGAACACACCATGCATTACTGTCAGTGGCATTTCAGAAATTTCACTTACTCATTGCTTTGCACGTTGGTCTTCACAATGTTGTACTTCGCACCCCATTTTTTTAGGTATTCAATCTCTTCTCCAAGTAGTTTACATCTGCTCACCACAAGGGACACATCAAAAAGAAGCTGCAAGGATTCAAATTAGAGCACAGTCACAAAATGATTGAGTTATTCATTCATGACAAGCTAAAGAGTAAGATCTTTTCTTGCTAAACTAAATATCAGAGAGATTGATCCCAACCACCAAAAGCACAAAAGATTTTGCCTAATAGAGTCCGCAGCAGAGAGTTAAAGTCTCATAGGTCACACCATGTTTAGAGAAAAATTTCCTTAGGATGTTCTTAAGCCAGGCATAAGGACGATATTCTGGTTAAGTTGGAAGACAGAGATCAGCTTTGAGGGGAAGGAGGCCTTAGGCCTAAAAGACAACTTTGTCCTTTTGTAATACTAATATAGGCTCCTTTTAGGACAAGGCCACCATTTCAGAGACCCTCCATGCATAGGTGATAGCAACTAGAAAGGTTACCTTATGGGTAAGGTCAGGCAAGGGAATATCCCTAGTAGTCTAAAAGAGCTACTTCTGCAGAACCAGACTGAGGTTCCAACATGACAAAGGAGATCATATGGGGAAGAGGTGATGAGTGATAAATAAATAAATAGTGCAGCGCTAAACCTTAAATCTAAAATAAATAAATATATATATATATATATATATATAAATACAAAATAAATATATATCATATAAAAGTGCAACCGTGCAAATACAGTATTAATACAATAAAGTGTAACACGTGTATTCCCTACAGGAATGATCAAAGTGACCAAGTGATCAGAGCAAACAATATATCACAATACACTCTAATACAAATCTCCACTTATTGTGAACATGTCATATATATATATATATATATATATATATATATATATAGTCCAATACACAATCTTCATGCAGGTGATATCAAGTGTCCACACTGTATCCCCAGCGATGTATACTCCATCAACAGCTTCCTCTCCGGTTCCTCATGCTATGCCTGCCTTGCATGGGTATTAGATATAGGGGTTTCAAATATGGTCAAGCATCTGGGAAGCAGGATGGAACAGTGATCCTTGGGGCAGGAGGTCTGGACAAATCCAGAAAGGCCCATGGATCGTCTGCCAGGAGAGAGTATGTATGAATACCAGGTCCTCCAGGGTAAATTTGACGCAATGAGGATCACTGGAATCCCCTTCACCTCAATCCTGGGAAGCAGGTGAGGAAGAATGTGGAATGGTGGTAAGGTGCTAAACCAGGTTGAACCAATTCCTTGGTGTCAGTGTCCATTGCAAAGACCCAAGGGTTCCTAGCAACAGGCCTGTTCATCTGGATGCGGGCAGACTTGAAACACCATCAGACAAAGAGCCCATCTGCCTGGATACAGATGCTGATGACTGAGAAAGTCTGCTTACCAAGTTTTCACACCTGGAAAATGAACAGTGGAGACAGGACCTTCATGTGAAGTTCTGCCCAAGATATAATCACGTTTACATCCTTTCGATAAGAGCGATCGTATTTTTCGCTCCATAAGACGCACTTGACCATAAGACACACCTAGATTTTAGAGGAGGAAAACAGGAAAAAAAATATTCTGAACCAATGGACTGCAAACATAGTACAGGAGATGACCAGAGACTGTGGACACAGTAGAGGAGATGACCAGAGACTGCGGACACAGTAGAGGAGATGACCAGAGACTGCGGACACAGTACAGGAGATGACCAGAGACTGCGGACACAGTACAGGAGATGACCAGAGACTGCGGACACAGTACAGGAGATGACCAGAGACTGCGGACACAGTACAGGAGATGACCAGAGACTGCGGACACAGTACAGGAGATGACCAGAGACTGCGGACACAGTACAGGAGATGACCAGAGACTGCGGACACAGTACAGGAGATGACCAGAGACTGCGGACACAGTACAGGAGATGACCAGAGACTGCGGACACAGTACAGGAGATGACCAGAGACTGCGGACACAGTACAGGAGATGACCAGAGACTGCGGACACAGTACAGGAGATGACCAGAGACTGCGGACACAGTACAGGAGATGACCAGAGACTGCGGACACTGTACAGGAGATGACCAGAGACTGCGGACACAGTACAATAGATGACCAGAGACTGCGGACACAGTACAATAGATGACCAGAGACTGCGGACACAGTACAATAGATGACCAGAGACTGCGGACACAGTACAATAGATGACCAGAGACTGCGGACACAGTACAATAGATGACCAGAGACTGCGGACACAGTACAGGAGATGACCAGAGACTGCGGAGACAGTACAGGAGATGACCAGAGACTGCGGACACAGTACAGGGATGACCAGAGACTGCGGACACAGTACAGGAGATGACCAGAGACTGCGGAGACAGTACAGGAGATGACCAGAGACTGCGGAGACAGTACAGGAGATGACCAGAGACTGCGGAGACAGTACAGGAGATGACCAGAGACCGCGGACACAGTACAGGAGATGACCAGAGACTGCGGACATAGTACAGGAGATGACCAGAGACTGTGGACATAGTACAGGAGATGACCAAAGACTGTGGACCTTGGGGGAGCGGGTACCTGAATTTGACAGGTACCCGCTCCCACTTCTGCGGAGTTGTCCTTCCCCCCCCCCCCCCCCCCCCCCCCTCTCCCTGTAATCTTCTGGGACACGTGACAGGTCCCAGTAGATTACATGGCCATTGACAAAACGCGGTGCTTCTTGCGCATGCACAGTGGGCACCCGGCTGTGAAGCCGCAAACTGTCACAGCCGGGTGCCCATGCCGGCACCGGGGAGAGAAGACTGAGGACACCGCTGGACCGAGGAACAGGTAGGGACCGCTGGCAGTCTACAGAGAAGAAACGAGCGGCCGGCTCGGTATGATAGACGCACAAACATTTTTCTCCATTTTTTTTTAGGGGGGGAAAGTGCGTCTTATGGAGCGAAAAATACGGTAGTTTTGGTGCTTCCCTAATGTTTGATGAAGCTGTGGAACTGTCCAACTGAATTCCCGTTGGATGGTCTCACAATAATTAAGCATTTGCGGAACAAGTGAATCACCTTCATTCATCCATGGTTAAGACTAAAGCTCCTATGTCCTATAATGTACAATTAAAGAAATCCCATATACCATTAAGACCAGCACATTGGTTATTTCCCCTCATTTAAAGGATACATAACTTTAACCCAGAAAAAAAAATTAAATTCGATCTGGACTAAAAAAAAACAAACACAAATTAAAGTAACATTACCTGAGGTACATTGCTTTGCATTTTACAAGTCGTATGTAGGTAGTCCTTTTTCTCTAAATACTGTAAAATCAATCTGTGGACTAAAAGAGATGAGGGCGGTGCAGCTTCTTCTGCAAAATAAATAAATAAATTGCAAAGGGTTACAAATGTATATAAATAGCCCATCAATTTTGGTATTTTAGCACTTGTGATTCAATTACAGCAGAGCTAACTTCTGTTTTTGTTTTTTACACATTAAGCACCTACATATTACAGTATGTATTATGCAAATGTATTTATTAGCAATGAAAGTGGTCACAGTACTCCCACTGGCAGGAAGGCGAGGTTTCTCTGATTTAAAGATCAGCAGTGCATCAGCATACTTGTGATCATTTAACCTTCAGGTTGAACTGCACTGGTACCACTCATGTTACTTTCCAAAAACCAATACAAGTCAAGCAAATTATTATAGGTTTCAAACTAAATTTTAACCCTTTCATTACACAGTCATGTAAAAAAGATTTGTGATTGTGACCATCTGTCCTTGTGATGTTGTTTTGGATGTGATCACTTACCGACCACAGCTGTTGTGATCTACCTTTACTTTGGCTGCATGGCTTGACACTAAACTACATTTAGCATGCAAGGCCGGTGGGGGAGAGGTGACTGTTGCTTTGTTAAAGCTGTGTGTCAACCTGCCTGCTTTCATGTGACAACACTAAAGAAATGATACCTTGCTACAATGTAAAGTAGTGAGTGTACAGCTTATATAACAGTGTAAATTTGCTGTCCCCTCAAAATAACTCAACACACAGCCATTAACGTCTAAACCGCTGGCAACAAAAGTGAAAATGTCCAAATTGGGCCCAAAGTGTCAATATTTTGTGTGGCCACCATTATTTTCCAACACTGCCTTAACCCTCTTGGGCATGGAGTTCACCAGAGCTTCACAGGTTGTCACTGGAGTCCTCTTCCACTCCTCCATGACGACATCACAGAGCTGGTGGATGTTAGAGACCTTTTGCTCCTCCACCTTCCATTTGAGGATATCCCACAGATGCTCAATAGGGTTTAGGTCTGGAGACATGCTTAGCCAGTCCATCACCTTTACCCTCAGCTTTAGCAAGGCAGTGGTTGTCTTGGAGGTGTGTTTGGGGTCGTTATGTTGGAATACTGCCCTGCGGCACAGTCTCCGAAGTGAGGGGATCATGCTCTGCTTCAGTATGTCACAGTACATGTTGGCATTCATGGTTCCCTCAATGAACTGTAGCTCCCCAGTGCCGGCAACACTCATGCAGCTCCAAACCATGACACTCCCACCACCATGCTTGACTGTAGGCACTTTTCTTTGTACTCCTCACCTGGTTGCTGCCACACACACTTGACACCATCTGAACCAAATAAGTTTATCTTGGTCTCATCTGACCACAGGACATGGTTCCAGTAATCCATGTCCTTACTCTGCTTGTCTTCAGCAAACTGTTTGCGGGTTTCTTGTGCATCACCTTTAGAAGAGGCTTCTTTCTGGGACGATAGCCATGCAGACCAATTTGATGCAGTGTGTGGAGTATGGTCTGTGCACTGAAAGGCTGACCCCCCACCCCTTCAACCTCTGCAGCAATGCTGGCAGCACTCATACGTCCATTTCCCAAAGACAACCTCTGGATATGACGGTGAGCACGTGCACTCCGCTTCCTTGGTCGACCATGGCGAGGCCTGTTCTGAATGGAACCTGTCCTATTAAACCGCTGTATAGTCTTGGCCGCCGTGCTGCAGCTCATTTTCAGGGTTTTGGCAATCTTCCTATAGCCTAGGCCATCTTTATGTAGAGCAGCAATTCTTTTTATCAGATCCTCAGAGAGTTATTTGCCATGAGGTGCCATGTTGAACTTCCAGGGACCAGTATGAGAGAGTGAGAGCAGTAACACCAAATTTAACACACTTGCTCCCCATTCACACCTGAGACCTTGCAACACTAACAAGTCACATGACACCTGGGAGGGAAAATGGCTAATTGAGCCCAATTTGGACATTTTCACTTAGGGGTGTACTCACTTTTGTTGCCAGCTGTTTAGACATTAATGGCTGTGTGTTGAGTTATTTTGAGGGGACAAAGTTTACAGTTATACAAGCTGTACACTCACTACTTTACACTGTAGGAAAGTGTCATTTCTTCAGTGTTGTCAAATGAAAAGATAGAATCAAATATTTACAAAAATGTGAGGGGTGTACTCACTTCTGGGAGATATTGTATACATACTATATTGCCAAAAGTATTTGGACACCCCTCCGAATCATTGGATTTCGATGTTCCAATGACCTCCATGGCCACAGGTGTATTAAATCAAGCACCTCGGTGGTGCAGTGATAGGTTGCCACCTGTGCAATAAGTCCATCTGTTAAATGTCCTTGCTACTAAATATTCCACTGTCAATTGTTAGGGGTATTATAATTAAGTGGAAGCAACAGGGAACAGCAGCAACTCAGCCACGAAGTGCTAGGTCACGTAAAAAATGACAGAGCAGGGTCAGCGCATGCTGAAGTGCACAGAAGTAGCCAACTGTCTGCAGAGTCAATAGCTAAAGACCTTTCAGATTAGCACAACAGTGTGTAGAGAGCTTCATGGAATGGGTTTCCATGGTCGAGCAGCTGCATCAAAGCCTTACATCGCCAAATGCATTGCAGTGGTGTAAAGCACGCTGCCACTGGACTTTAGAGCAGTGGAGACGTGTTCTCTGGAGTGACGAATCATGCTTCTCTGTTTGGCAATCTGATGGACGTGTCTGGGTTTGGCGGTTGCCAGAAGAAAGGGACTTACCTGACTGCACTGTGCCAAGTGTAAAGTTTGGTGTAAGGGGGGATTATGATGTGGAGTTGTTTTTCAGGGGTTGGGTTTGGCCCCCTTCGTTCCAGTGAAGGGAACTCTTAAGGCATAAGCATACCAAGACATTTTGGACAATTTCATGCTCCCAACTTTGTAGGAACAGTTTGAGGATGGCCCCTTCCTGTTCCAACATGACTGCGCACCAGTGCACAAAGAAAGGTTCATAAAGACATGGATGAGCGAGTTTGGGGTGGAGGAACTTGACTGGCCTGCACAGAGTCCTGACCTCAACCAAATAGAACACCTTTGGGATGAATTACAGCAGAGACTGCGAGCCAGACCTTCTTGTCTGACATCATTGCCTTACCTCACAAGTGCGCTTCTGGAAGGATGGTCAAACACTCCCATAGACACTCCTAAACCTTCTTGACAGCCTTCCCAGAAGAGTTGAAGCTGTTATAGCTGCAAAGGGTGGGTCAACTCAATATTAAACCCTACAGACCAAGACTGGGATGCCGTTAATACTCACGTGCGTGTAAAGACAGGCGTCCTAATACTTTTGGCAATATAGTGTGTGTATGTATATATATATATAAAATGTGTGTTTTCTTAGTTTCTAACATTTTTCAAACAAATCATCTTTTTCATAAATGTAGGACAAAATGGTATTCTGCTATATTTCTTTGGTAAAAAATAACCCAAATCACTGTATATTATTTAGTCTGTGCGAAAGTTATAAAGTCTAAAAACTATGGCTAATATTTTGAAGGTTGACCTGATGTACCCCACACACCACTCATTTGTAGAGGCCCTAAAATGCCAGGACAGTACATATCCCACCAAATGACCCCTTTTTGGAAATTAGTCAAAGTTATTTAGTAAGAGGCATGGCAAGTGTTTACAAGAAGTTTTTTGTCACTATTATTTTGAAAAATTAAGAATTTTTTCTCTCATTTTGCTTTTGTTTATACATTCGGTCACCAGTGCAGTACAGCGTCATCATATGACTGGTGTCGCAGTGATCGGGGATACTGATTGGTGACAGCGATTGGTGATCCTGCAATTTTTGTTTTCACTCGGTCATTACTTATAACTGTCAATAGCAATAGTTTTAGTAATCATGAATGGGTTTCCATTCATAACAGCTTAGTTACTGTTGACATGCAGTGATTGGCTATTGCTAATCACATGGTACAAGTAGCCAGTTACCATGTGATAGCTGTGGACCAATCACAGCATCACAACAGTAATCAAGCAGTCATGAATGAAATAGACAGTCTCCTTACATAAATATGTAATTGCTATGATTGGTCATAATGATCACATGATATCAGTGGCTGGGTACCGAGTGCCGTGATCTGCTGTGTCCACAGCAGTCTGGAGATTTCACCGCTGCGCTCCCCAGGGGGCGCACTAGTGTACATGTACAGGGCGATGTCTGGTATGTCGACCAGCCTGTTTGTGCCACCCACCTGCAGTAAATGTACTGTGGGCGGGCAGCAAGTGGTTAAACAGTAACCATTAGATTATTTTTGCCTGGAGGTGCTCTTTAAACCAGCACAGTTCAATCCTGCAGCACAGTGGCTAAATGGTCGGCACATCCGCCTGGCAGTACTAGGGTTGTTGGTGTGAATCCCTGCCATGGCACCACCTGCCTGAAGTTTGCATGTTCTCCCTGTGCATGCGTGGGTTTCCTCTAGGTACTCTGGTTTCCTCCCAAATTCCAAAGACATGCTGGTAGGTTAATTGAATCCTGTCTAAATTAACCCCAGTATCTGTATGTATGAATGGAAGTTAGAGACGTTAGATTGTACACCCCTTGAGGGTTAGGGATTGATGTGAATGTACAATATATAAGTAAAGTGCTGCATAAATTGACAGCGCTATACAAGTACCTGAAAAAAAATTAAAAGTAAAATCCACTAAGCCACTTACATCTTCCTATAGTGGAAAATGTAGACATCTCTATATTAACCGCCTCCTCACCGGTGATTGGGCGCCAGAACTGTAGCTCAGGAAAGGCACACAAGCGGCCAATCAACTGCGAGGACGCGGAGCCAAGGGGCCCCGCAAACATCGAGTGAGAGGCCGGAGTGAAGGACAGCTGACAGGTAAGTGTGCCGTGCTGATGGTGTTGCTGCAACCAGGTATGCTGGCTGCAGTAGCACCTAGGCTGGAGCAGGGGTCGCAAGTTACGTGTCATTGGTGTCAGTGGGAGGAATAGTGCCCCATCATTGGTGTCACTGATACTAATGATGGGGCATTATTCCTCCCACTGACACCAATGAAGGGGCACTATTTCTCCAC